CCATAGTATACCAGTAATCATCTAATCACCAGTAATCGACAGTAGGCACCAAAGATGGAGATGTGTCTGTTAAGTTGCAACTAAAATATGTGTGTGACCACAGCACAAAAAGGATAAAAAGTATACTTGAAGGCTTTTGTACAAGATTAACTTTAATACACACATTCTTATGTGTAATGCTTCTTTAACTTATGGGGTTTTTTTTTCGTTTTTTTACCTTTTAGCACACTCATCAGCACAACCCGAAGAACGTCCCACAGCTACTGTATCACCTTTAAGGACTCAAAATTCTCCATCACGACTCCCAGCCAGCCCAATCAGACTACAGTCCAATATTTCTCCGCAGCACATGCATCAACAGCAACAGACAGCTGCTCACAGTTCTCCTGCAATCCATTGTGCCAGAGCAATCATTCCCTTAACATCAGCTGCAGCTGCCATTACACCACCAAATGTTACTGCCGCCAACATTAATGGTGATGCTGTCAATGGACAAGTGAACTGCCTGCATACTGGAAGCCCAACACATACAGGATGCAAAGCAGAAGAGAGGAAGACTGAAAAAGTAAGTTTGTTTTTGAAAATCTGTTATATAAATAAAAAACATAATATACTGTATTTTGCATAATATTAAAATCCAGTCAGAAACTTTGCAGGTCTCTATTTTTAGGTATTTGGGTTAGGCAATTTTAAACTTTTGGGTACATTCATAGGAACAAGGATTTGTTCTACGAGACTCTGGGACATACAGTGACAGTGATACGTATGTATCATATAATTGGGGGAAATAATAGCATTTTTAAAAAATCTATACTGCTTGCTCTAGGTCTAGAGCCTAGAACAACCATTAGCAAGGGTTGGGGCCTTCAACACCATCTAACACCTGTAAATAATGCAGTTTTTAAATCTCCAACCCAGTGGCTTAACAATAATTCAGCCAGGTAACTTGCATGAATAACATCTGTCCTAGCCTTCTTGGCACCTTAGTGATTCAATTATATAATGAGAACAGGGTGTTTCCACAAACTGAACTGTTATCCCTCCCACAGATAACTGTGGCTATGAATGCTGATGTATGTTCCTTACACTCACTGAAACGTGTCAAAGGCTTCTTAAGGCCAGCTGCCACTTTTCCCTTGCTCTGATGTCACAAGAGATCCCTGTTAATGCAATTACTGATACAAGAAAGACAATTATTAAAACAATACAAGAAGCAATAAGTGATCCTCTACTTTTTTGCAGCATGGGATGTGCCTCTTATGTTTTAACTAGTAGCAGTGTCTCTTTAAACTGCAAAATTCACAGCAGAGTTATGAAATGGAACATCATACCTGTCTGCACTTAGATCACTTGACATTATTGATTGTAACTCTTAATTAGGCAGAGAGGAGACATGTGCTTTCCTGGTATCCATCTGTGCATGATGTTCTTGGATTCCTAATTCATACCTTTTTGCCTTTCCTGACCTTCAGTTACAAGCTCTCAGTTTTTAGATAATGTGCATAATATACATTATTGTCTAAAGGCACAAATCATTATAAAGATTTAAAGTGGGATATAGCCCACCTGGCATTTTGTTTGTCATAAAGTTTCAGCGAGAGCCAGCTGGTTCATAGTGTTTAATGTTCATTTTATACATCTTTGTTTTTACAATTAGATCGGTTTTGCTGCAGTGCAGCAATTTACCAACTTTTCTGATTTATCTCAAATGATTCCTTCATGAATTTGTCTTTTTGTATGATATCCATATGCTAATTTCATAGTACCAATATTTGAAACACTGTGTGCGATGTAGGTTTTATTTTTGTACAAGCCAAAGTCACTTAATCAACATCATCACTCTTTTAAGGATCTTAGGTAGCATCTATGTGACAGTATTTAATTACATTGCTTCTTAGGTTGAAGACACCCAGCTTTTAATTCAGAACAAGTATTAAAAAAAAAATCACATAATGGGAAACCTTTAAAAGAATACCCATGCCGCTTGGGGACTGGCTTGCAACCTCACTAGTCATCCTGGCAGTCGACTCCCCAGCTTTGCCAAACTGCAAATTCCATATACACAAACACTGATGTTTATGAATAGGAAAAGCTACTTGTATTACAGTTAATGCTGACCCACTAGCTTTAGTACTGTCTAAGTCATTGACACAGGAACAGGTATGCAGATTGGAAAGACCTTATCTGCATATGTCACCAACTCAAAGTAATAAAGCCACAGGGTCAGCATGACATCCAGGTAATTAGCACCTCCAAAAAGAGAGGACAGCACTGGCAGCCTCCATGTTTCTTTCATGAAAGCTCTCCTTTAAAGTGGAACTAAAGCTAAAACTTTTTTTTAGGAATTTGGATAGGATACGTCAGTTGTTTTTACATCTCTGTCCAATTGGACTCACTTTGTTTCCAATAGCCACAACAATAGAAAATCCCTCCAACATGAGGAAAATCTGTGTTACCAGGGTCACCAGAACTAGTCCCCCGATTGCAAGATTTCTCCTCTATTCCTATTGCAGTTGCTGTTCAAAATATAAAAAAGTTATCTCAGTGATAACGGTCACCAGGATAAATAGGTGTGGTTAACCTCCCCAATGGGGACAGAGACAGTAATATAAACCTGACAGGTGTTCTAATTTCTCTCCAAACTATCCAAAACTGAACAAAAGTTTTGGCTTTACTTTTACTTTAAATACTTAAACACAGATGGAGTCCCTGGATGGGGTGAAACACAGGGAGACTTATTTAAGAAGATAAATACAGCAGATGAGTGCAATTGCACTTTTCGCGCTACTGAGCTTTGTCATAAAGCTAATGTCTTATAAATAAGAGAAGAAATGTGAAGGCTGCCTTTGCTGTCCTTTCTTTCTGGCACCTGCCACCGCTGTATCACCCTATAAGTTGAACTTTCTCTCTCAGGTCTGCTCCTCTACTGATTAACATCAGAAAAGGGGTGGGACAATAGCTAGCCTACTATTGGCTATTGCAATTTAAAATAGCCAATAGCAGAATGGCTGCCTCCCACTGCCTTCTCTCAATCCACAGAGGAGCGGACCTGAGAGAGAACTTTCTCTGTCTCAGGTCCACTCCTCTGTGGATTGAGAGAAGGCAGTGGGCAGAGCAATAGCCAGCCTGCTATTGCAAATTAAAATAGCCATTAGCAGAATGGATATTACTCCTGCTGAGAAGCAGACCTGAGAGAAAAAGTTATCTCTCAGGTCCGCTCCTCTGTCACTGACATCAGGCAGTGGGCGGACCATTAGCCAGCCTGCTATTGGCTATTTCCATTTTAAATAGCCAATAGCAGGCTTTGTTTATTTCAACCCATTGCCCGATATAAATATTGCATCGGGGAGGTTTTTTTTTTCTTCATTTGTCGGCCGACGCTGAAATGACTTTGTGGGACTTTCTAAAAATGTTTTTAAAGTAGGGAATGTCTAAGGTGGTGTGTTTTTATTACATTTTATTTAACCCTTTAGTGAATGAGAAGGCGTAGAAGTACCCCTTACTCATTCTCAAGGGGGTGGCATCTGGGTGTCCCCTTTATGAAAGGGGGTACCCAGATGCAAATGAGCCCCATGCCCACAGACCCCCACAACAACTGGGTCAGGGTTGTAGGGAAGAGGCCCTTGTCCTCACCGGCATGGGCACAAGGTGCATTTCCAGGGGCCCCTCCATGGAAAAGCAGTGTCTCACTGCGGAGGGCATATGGGCTGGTATGTCCCCCCCTCCTTTCCTGCACTGCCAGGCTTCTGTCCGGATTAAGGGTCTAGTACAGGATTTTAGGGGCGACCCCACATGGTTTTTTTGGCATTGGGGTTCCCCTTAAAATTCCTACCAGACCTAAAGGGTCTGGTATTAATTGTTGGGGGAACCCCTTTTTCTTTTTAAATTATTATTTCTGTGAACACTTAAACGCGTTTGTGTATTCTTGCCAGATTCTTTACATTCGTGATTGAAGTGTCCACAAAGAAGCAGAAGCTGTTACAGAATAATGCACATCACTATCAGAAGGGTGTGTATAACAGCTCTTTTATTTCAGGGAACATTCATCTGGAGGAAAAAAAAAATGTCAATGATTGACAGGTTTGCATTAAGCCTGTATGTATACATCTAATCCGTTATCTAGACCCTGGTATACAGAATAGTGTAGAGGTAGCTTAATTTTTTTAAAGAAAAAGCTGCTACAAAACTAAAGGCTTTAATAATTTATAGAACGTAGAACATACATAAAAGTATGTAAAGTTAAAGAACAGTCTCTTTCCCTGGGTTTCTGATATTATCACCTGTCATCTCATTAAAGCAGACGTAATCTTGTGAACGTGATGTTTTGCCATAATCTTCAAGTATGCACTTGCAGGCTACATTTCACCCCCACCTCATTCTGTGCTGTCCTCCAGCAATTACAGGTCCAGACACCTGTCACCGCTGTATCCTGCCATCTCCGCTGATGATTCTTCTGGGTCCTGCAGTGATCATCTTTGGACTATGGGTCCCACTGAGGATTTAACTCATCCACACTGGAGTTATATTTCCATAGCACTTGGCCCATTTCCGGCATCTTTAAATGCTGGGAATGACCCAGTTGTGTACACTGGATGGTGTATGTGTCATACAGTGTACACAGAAAATAACATTGCTAGGGGAAGAGGAAGAATTTTGACAGAAGAGACATTGCTTGTATAGTTGCATGCCTACCTAGCAGCAATTTAGTTTTTATTTTTAGTTTAATTCTGCTTTAAGAGCAATTTATTCTGACCTGCAAAGAATTTCCACTCTGCAGCACACTTTTACTGTTCTCATTATAATGATAATACTCTGAGTACTGCCACAGAGTAACATATAAAAGAAATAGCAAGCAGTAGTGCTAAAAATAAAAATGTTAAATATATACTGAAATATGCGGTCAGCAGCACAGTGCAAACCTCAGCAGATACTTACACAGACATCATAAAATATATTTTCTTCTTTTTTGGAGGAAATAAAAATATGCCTACACAAAACACCAGACTGTATAATTTTAGATACTATGTTCAAATATTTCTAGACCTCGTAGATTTTTTTTAGGAAAATAAACAGAAATCTACAAATCAGATAACATTTTAAAAGGTAATCTAGAATTTAAAAGAAAAACATAATTCCGATTTTTTTTGTTTTGTTAATGCCTGGATTTTGTTGTTGTTTTTTTGAACTGACAACTATTCCCATACATTTATTGCTGCAATGGTAACTATATACAGTATTCACAACCTATTTTAGTCTAACCATATAATCAACACAAGGATAATTCTACAAAATGAAAGAACTCAAAGTAGAGTTACTGTTATAGCACTGGTAAACTCTGTGTAAATCCAATTTCTTGAATTGAATAGCAGTCAGGACCATATTACCAGAGTCAGAATACAGGGAGTCGTGTCTTCAGCAGGGGTATGGGCAGCAGAATGACATGTAGGGCAGGAGGAAGGCAATAGCCAATCAAGCAATCAAGTAGGCGGGCGAGACCAGGGGTGTGTTTTCAGAAGAGAGCATGGGCAACAGAATGACATGTTGGACTGTAGGGAAAGTCACTGC